TCTGTTTTGCTGTGGTGATGTATTTATATATGGTCTGTATTTATAAAGTGCTTTTCTAGTTTTGATGACCACTCAAAAGTGCTTTACAATGCAGTTTATATATATTTATATATATTGAATTACAACATCCATTCATTGTTGCATTTTAAGTTGGAAACTAAGAATTATTCCATACATTTCATAACATTCATGCCATTAGGATAATGACTTTTGACTTTTGTGTGTTGTTATTTTCACATTTCAGCTGCTTTCAGCTGGGATTCTTAAATGAGGAATTCAGCTGTTATAAAACAGTTCCATGTTCGCAAGTTTTTGTATTTCAAGTAACGCTTTCACCGCATCAGCAGACATGTTCATTCGCTGTTCATTTTAAAGCTAGGCTGATTATTCTATGTCATTTTATTGTAGTTCATGTCACCTGCTTGATTATTTTTATCTGCCTTGAGTTTGATCAATGTGAACTTTGTGTTTTGTAATTATTATATCACTGGATCTGAATCCAAACTGAGTGACTTGGTAGCGGAGGATAGAAGATGTGGAAATCTCTATCAAAAGTCCAACAGCAGCTGATAAGTTAAAGGGAAGGCAACACTGCTATCAGTATCTAGGTGTAGCAGCTAAAGTGATACACAGTTCTATTTCTGAACATACAAGTCACTTATTATGATGACATGTCATGGTGAACAAAATGATCTCATAGCAATCTTGCACCTTGACCTGCATCATTTTACTGGAATATGGTCACATAACAGGGAGGTTTTTCATTACAGCTACAACAAAAAGCCAAATCAAATGATCTTTTAATACAGAATTTGCACATTTAGACTTCCTCTGATATACGGCTTGTATATGTCAAACTTTCTTTGCCACTGATACAATAATAATTTTCTATCACATGTAATGTAAAACACTTAAGTGACCCTAGTGGAAACAAAGCTCGATGATAAGATGAAATAAAATTGAAAGCAGACACCTACCACTCCTCTGAAAGATGGAGGAATCAGCCCACAGTAGATGGGGATGAAACAGCTACAAATCAGTGCCTGTGGACAGAGTATAGTGTTGAACGAGAACACATCTCTTTCAACACTGTAACACCCTAAAGGCTTCTCCAGATTTATAAGATAAACCCCAACCCGTACCTGAATGAGTTCCTCTTTGGAGCTAAACTCTGATATCAGCACATTTTCTCCGTCAGACACTCTGGTCAGCGAGACACACAGCCGCCCCGAGGCCCGGACATGAGCGTCAGAGGGCAGGTCACGATCTAGGCCTGACTTGATCACCTTGACCAGGTTGAAGGTTGGGTGAAGGGGACCCAGGTTCCTCTTCCTGGCCTCCTTCGCTACTTCAATCACATCTTGACAGCATTTAGCTAGGAAATAGAAAAAAAATGAAGGTAAAGGAAGAGTAACATGTGTTCTCTGAAGTTTGAGCAGTCAACTGCAAACAGAAACACACAGCTTAAAATGACAACCTGCAACTGGATCAATATTCACTTTAGTTACTAGGAGTCAACAACCAACAAAGACCTCGGTGAGCCCTCTTCCAGGTACTAGGCCAAAGTAGTTGAGGCCGGTTTGCATTTATGATGGGAGAAATGATGATCCAGTACTGAATATACATCTATTACTATGTTTAATTATCATCATAGGAAAGGTGCTACTATAGCAAAAATCTAAAGTGTGGCCAAACATTTGGTTTGTAGCAGTTTAGTGGAATTTGGAGAGTCTTGATGAGGAGCGGACACGGACGTCGGTGGGGATGAAAATGTGAAACATGGGTGAAAAGTTGAATCTTTAAAGAAAGTGGTTGAATTAGAGAATATCCGATTATCATTATTTGTTATGTCCTCAATTTGCCTCAATGACAGCATACACTGGAGCTGCCATTATCTGGAAACCTGAAGACCCATTATCTCGGAATGCCTCTCTCAGTCAAATGACCCCCTGAATGTTCAATGGAGTTCAGGTGATCGTGGAGGAAAGTCTGTAACAGTCAGGACTCCCTGGTCTTTGACTGTGTTTGGGCTCATTATCCTGCTACAGTCTCTGAAGAATAGTGGTTCTTCACCCTGGTCCGGCTGTCGTCATGTATTTCCCACCATCATTTGTCGCTGTGGGTTTGTTAAACTGTAGTATGGTTCTCTCGTGTGTTTGTTTAATCAACGCACCATTCTGTCACAAATCCTAAACTTATGATCACCAGTAAAACATTTTTAGCTGGTAACTCTGAAGCTTTTAGTCTCATTGTCCCATTTAGAAACTGCTTCTGTCCTCTGAGAGCAACACTGGACATCTGATTGACATTCCTAATGATTGTGGTAATGTTGTTTCATGACGTCTTCCTGAGCCTTCCACCAGGACACCACACAATACGTGTTATAAACAAATCCCAATATGAAGCTAAGTCAGCAGCATCTGGTTAAGACACTTTTACCTACTTCTGCCACCAACGACAACAACTACAATAACATCTATCCAACCTCCAGCTTCCAGAAGGGCGCAAAGCTCCAGGCTATCGAGTCTCAGTCTGGGTCTTACTTATGGATGCCTGGCTGGCGAGCACCGAGGCGGTGAGAGACCCGGCAGAGGCTCCGCACAGCTTGGTCGCCCCTTCGACGAGGTAAGGCGCTTTCTCCAGCAAGCAGCTGGCAACTCCGATGTGGTAAATCCCCAGGAAGCCGCACCCGGCAAAGGACAGGTTCCAGCCGCTGTGTAAGTCGAACATGGCGGGGCATGCCCCGGCCGCGGAGCCCGGAGATTAGTTGACCGATCACAGGTTACTGTCTGCGAGGTGCGATCGAAACCCTGCTCATGTATAATGTGTGCCTCTGTGGGTCTGGAACCATAGACTGTATATAAAGGCCTGGAGCACATGACTCTGTTTGTATAGCAGCGGGGGCGGCGGCGCTGCTGCTGCATTCAGGTGCACTCTGAACTATCACTACTCCCATGTCATAGGACGTCACTGCAAATTGAAAAATGTACTGTTTTCTTGCATACTGTGCATGCACCAGGGTTGGTATAGTTAACGAAAACTAAAACTAGCAATGAAAAAATGATTTAGTTGACTGAAATAAAAATAAAAACTACAATGAACAATGCAAAACTAACTAAAACTAAACTGCAGATAAATTCATCTTAAATTCTCCCTGGATTACTGCCTGTCCTGCAGGTGATGGTTAAAGAATGAAATTAAAGGACTTGATAAACCTTATTTGGTGTCACACATTGTTTCATCCTTTTTCAGCTTCTACAAGTCAAGGCTTTCTCTTAATACCTGGAAAAACTAAAACTAAGACTAAAACTTAATAAAACTAGTCGATTTCTCAAAATAAAAACTAAACTAAAACTACAAAATCGCTTGTTGAACTAACTAAAACTAAACTGAAATAAAAAAGCAACCTGAAAAACCAAATCAAAAATAAAAACTAATGAAAATTTCAAAACTATAATAACCTTGGTATGCACTTATATTTAATATAACATTATAAGTTATAATAACTTATAACCTATGGTAGCACCTTTCATATGATGATAATTAAACATAGTAATAAGTTGTAATAAGTTATAATGTTTTGTTATCTAAGGATGTTTCACTGTCTGTGATTGATACTTTCCGGTGGTGAAGTTGTGGGTTGAGCAAGCGTCATGAGCCTGTTGGGGATGTTTGAAGACGAATAGCCTACATGACCATCATCTGCACTCTGCTCACATGAGTCACAGCGGGAAGCTGCGGGAAGTCACTGAGTATGCCTGTGCAGATGCATGATGTCGATGGTAAAGACAAGAGACCAGGGCTGGATTAATGGATGCTCACCAAAAACCATCAACAGCAGACTGTTGTTCTTTCACTACTGTTTGTTCCTGGTCTTTCAGAGGAAACACCATGTCCCAGATTTGGTCAATTGTAAAATGGTAAATGGTCTGTGTCTTAATCGCACTCTTCTTGATGACCTCTGAAAGTTGTTCTTACTTCAATCGTACATTACCATCATATGTTGCGAAATTTTTTTCTTTTTATTTCTTGAGAACAGAACTTGAGATGCAGACTTGGATGACAACATGTGAACGGAGTGGAAATAATATGTTTGATGGAGCTAAGTGTTGACTATCAAAGGATTAAGGGTCTAAGGGTATTAAGAATACTGTATGATTTTTATATGATTATTATAGTGACACTGTAGATTTTGGATGTTTATTGTGTGATATTGTTATAATTGTTTTTAAAAATTCCATGGACACTCCATTCAAAAGAGTAAATTAGCTAAAGTAGGCGCTACAGTTAAATAACAAAAGACAGAACAATACTAAAAGTAAGATAAAATATATAGCAATATAATGTGTATTTAAAAATATTCAGTAGGAAGACATAAACGAACTTATAAATATGGTAAGGGCAAATACTTCATCATTATTGACACAAATGGTATACCTTACTCTCACCATTCACTGGGTATTAGTGGATCTGAAAGGGTACTCATCATACAAATATTATGATGCTTGACATAGTACTGTACTGTACAATCCTATGTATATTGATAACATGCTAGCATGATGCTAATTGGTTCTATTAACTCAATATTAAAGAGAACATCATATAAGTCTGGGCCTAGACTCCCAAGAGTATAAATATATATATATCATAGGATCATGCAGCAGCCTCGTGTTCATAGTGTTTACTGGAGCATGTAGCTCTGTGTGACGTAGTGGGAAGCATCCTCGCCCCAGTGAGAGTGGTCCTGATGCTGTGGCTCGTGTGCGCGCATGACATCATTTCTCTCCCGCGTGATTGGCTGTAGGTCATCTCGTTCTCCTGCCGTGCTGCATCCACCGAGAGCCTCCTCACCCCGAAGACGCTGTTTTTTTAATCAGTCTCATCATCAGCCCCCACATTGTATTTCACGGGATTAAACGATAAAAACCGATCGCCTGCGTGTGCGCGTTTTCTTCTCTTGCACTGGCGGCTCGTTTGGACGATGGCCGAAAGCGAGGCAGATACGCCGAGCACGCCGATTGAGTTTGAGAGCAAATACTTCGAGTTTGATGGAGTGCGGCTGCCGCCCTTTTGCAGGGGGAAGATGGAGGAGATCGCCAATTTCTCCCTGAGAAGTAGTGACATATGGATCGTCACGTACCCAAAGTCAGGTAAACAGGCATGTGCGTCTCCCTCTGCACGGCGCATTCTGTCTTCACATTTAATCCCCTGGCACTTGCTCTGTGCTGCAGCGGCGACTGCGGGTTTCTCGTGTGATTCTAAAAGTTTGTCAGTATAAATAAAACAGCGTACATCAGCCATGGCCTCCTCTGTGCGCAATGTGCATCTCACAGGAATCGTTTAAGTGGGAAAGCAGCTCGTGTTTCATATTAAATAGCTTTGAGTTGCTCATAGTCATCTTAAGGCCCGTGTGACGCGTATGCAGCTGGACTACATCTTATGGGCCCTTCTCATGCATGCTTTTAAAGCTCCAGCCTCCGCGTCACGTTCACAAGCCAACAAGCCGATGTAGACCAGGTAAATCGATTACTGATTGGCTGTAGCGCATCAATGAGCTTAGTCAAAGTTTTGCGTCATTCTCCACAGAGATGGAAGACGGGAGAGATGTTCGCATTCGGTGTCTTTGCGCAGCGTTGCGCGGTGCCTTGCCGTGCGCTGGGTGGGTCTGATCACGTGATCGCCAGTGGGCAGCTGGAGCTCTCTGTCAGTGCGCACAGGAATTACAGTCAGTGATCATCAGAGGTAAATTTCATCATGAGAAAAGCTTACTGATGTCATTAGGGACAATCATGTTGATACGAAGATGCGAGAGAATATTAGTCTTGCATCTCTTCAATCTCCTTTAGAAAACAGAAAGCAAATTATTGCTTAAGTCTGAGAAAAACAAAAAAACAAAGTGAATATGCTTAAAGAAAATAATGTGTAATGAATGTGTGACTACAGACTGTGTTCTGGGAAGGTGCCAGAGGCAAAAAAGTAAACTAAAATAAGATAAAGATAAAGGACTTGAGTGAATCAATGGTGAATGGATTATGATACATCACCCTTTTTCATCCAGAGAGGCCTTGTGGTAATTTTAAACAGCCATGATTCATTTAGAGCACAGTGACCCTCAGGCCAGCCAATCATAGGTTGCATCATCTGTTGATGTTTTTCTTATAAATGCAGCAGACATGCATTGTTGATTAATTGGGATGACGTACAGAAGCACAAATAGTTAATTTGGGCACTGGTTTTCAATTTCCTTTTGATATTGCCTGACAATTTGTCAAAGCCATAATTCTAAACTATTCTTTAAATGACAACCACAGTATGGTTATGCCAGACTATGGGACTATGGCATGTGAGGTGAGCATCAGGCAACTACGACGCACAGTCAAAGCTGCACTGAAAAGGTAATTATTTAAACAATGGATGACATGTAATGAGATGAGTGGAGATGTTGCTTGTAGTGACAGGGCCAACAGAAATTCAGAAATTCTGCAACTCAGCTCTGCAGAGCTTTTTTGTTTATTTTCTGCAAATAGTTTTTATTTTGCAGCAGACAGACACAGCCAGAGAGCAGCTGGTGATCACAGTGCAGCATTTAGCAGATAAAGAGCCTGATTTTTCCATTGGTTCGTGGTGAAGGCTTAAAAAAAGGGTGAAATATAATTTATAAATAGACACCTAGTATGTTAATTCATTTACCATTTCAGCTTCATAAGGCGACCCAACAGCAACTGCTGCAAAACGTTCCCTGCATAGTTCCATACCGGGAGATACAGTGTTGCTATAAAGGTACCACTGAATGACGGCACTGGTCATGAGAAATTGCCCAAAGATTAATATAATTCATGGGGCTCTTGCTGAGTATTTTAGGGTTAGGGTTTTACATTATCACGCAGCCAAGTCCATATTACTTGATAAATAAAGTCTATTTCCAAAGAACAATGGTCTTTATATCAAGCCTGTTTCCTCAGTGAGGTCTGTTAAGATCAGGACATAGTTACAGAGAACAATTACTCACATAAGTTTGTCAGGGCTGGATCTGCAATGATCCATGCACCCAACATTGAATGCTTTATGTGAGCTTGATTTCCTTGTTTGTTTCTCTGTGGTTTTTTTCGACACAAGACATTAATGTCATAAGGTGAAAACCTCATAAATCCCACTTATCTTTATGTTTGACATTTAAAGGACCTTTGTGAATGATGACCAGTGTGTCCTCTGCCGGCCACCTTACTATGGACAGGGATGCATGTACCCATAGCTGTAGCAAGAACATGTTGTTTGCTGAAGCAGGAAAAAATGCTTCTAACCAACCTGCCTATCCTGTGTCCTTCCTTCTGCTCTGTGCTGGTATATCTGTGTCTCTGGTGTGGAGGAAAGAAAGCACGTGGCAGATCACATGGATGGGATGCTGCAGAGCGAGGATTCTATTGGCTCACATGTCCAAACAGATGTTCCCTGTTAAAACACGAAAGAAATAATCACAGGCTGTTGAAATCAATGTGTTACCATGTACATGAAAGGTGGTTCTGTAAAGCTCTGGGTTTCTCCACAGCAGCATGAAGGAGGATTAAGAGTTTACTAAAGTGTGAGAGAGGATACAGGGTTTGTTTATCTACTCTAATGTGATTAATCAATCAAATCAATCAAATTTTATTCATTTTACCCATTTTCACAAATAACAATTTGCCTCATCGTGCTTAATTATCCGTATAAGTTGCAGCATCCTCTGTCCTTACCCCTCGACTACAGAAGATAATCTTCTAACTCTGGTAGAGTCACAATGAGGGATACCTATCCTAGGTTGGACAGAAGTACGATAGGTATCAGCCATCATTAGCAGGTCCACTTTGCTTCCTACGTAGTGCAAAGATGTGTAAATTAGGGAGTGGTTATTGGGGACTCTGTGTTAATGTGAATGGTCTTTCCCAATGTCAGCTGGCATTGGCTCAAAGCCCCCCCACACACCCATGGGTTAGACATGTCCTGCACCCAGTGTTCTATTGTTCTCTCTTAATATTTTTGCTTGGCTTTATTCAGTTTGTAAGGCACAGCTGACAGTTTAACCATTTCATGGATGCAAAACACTCAAAGCAGCCACAACATTTAATAAACAAAGTTTTAATGTTATGGCAGATTGATGTTCATAATAAAAGTAAACATTACATCATTTTATTGGTTTCACTGCTAGCATATGGCCAGCCTGAGGCCACTTGACCCCTTTCTCAGAGTAAGAACGGTCAGACTTTTTCACATCACAGAACATTGGAGAGCTTAAAGGTTGATATCTTCTCTAAAATTCAGCCTTTATTTATTTATTTATTTAGTTGTTTTATTAGATTCCTTTTTTTCCAAAAGAAATATTTAGATTATTAGATTGGACGAGTACACTTAAGGATGTTTACAAGCCAAAATGAGTCATGGGGATACCACAGAGAACATTGGGTGCTTGGATTGTTAGGGTCTCGAGAGCAAGTCTTCAACGACTGGAGGAATCCTTTTGACTACTCCTATTAGCATCTTTCGGCTACTGGAGCCGAACAAAACCAACCCCACAGGTAGAAGCAGTGCGCTCACAGTACCACAGACTGCATGCATTGCTCTATGCTTCTTTACTTGTTACTTGTTCACTGTGGGTGATGGAAAAGCCTCAGCAAAAACATGAACGTTTCACATGCATTTAGCACATTAATAGCAATGCCAAAATTCTTTTTGGTATTCTACTTATTTTCATTTTGTATCTTACTTGTTTGCAAACCCCATTGTGCATTCGTATACTGATATACAGTATAAATGGAATAAAAGTGTTGTCTACTTACTGCTTTAGAGTTCATTTTTATGTTTATTTTTTATTTGCACCCATGTAGCCTTGAACCCAAAGAATAAGTCTAAAACTGTCAAACACACAATGAAAATATGTAAATTACGCATTCATGTAATGAAAACGGGGCTCTGCTGTAAGTACATTTGTCCATATCGGTGATTGGTCATTTGCAGTAAACACCGCCCCTTTTATGTGCACATGCTCATATCTAGAGTATGAAAACTTGTGTTGACTTACTGAATTGATAATAAACGTCATGTGACTGCGTAGCCTGACTGCGTTTGTTAGGTTAAATGTAACTGGATAAAGGAAAGATATCCTGGGTATGGTGAACTCGCTTCGTAGTGAAAGCCCCAGACCCTGCCTGATGTGTCCTGTTCTGAACGAGTTCACTGTTAACCAGCAGAAATGTGATGGAAAAGTTCATTTGTTGTCTCAGTTATTTTCCATGGCTTAAAATATAGAAGCGTAGGCCGAACCTATTCATCTACAGACAGTTCACACAAGAGGAATGTTTATTCCTAATAAGAAAATTATTTGCAATGCTGTAGAAAAGTGTAGAACGAGAACTGGCACTTAAAAACTTCCACACACTGGTGTATAGATATAAACGCGGCTCCATCAAATCTCGCTCCACCTCCTCCAACTAAACTCTACTGTGGAAAATTCTAGTGATGACGTCGTTAAGTTAAATTCATCATTATGAGCAGTTGATTATATAAAAGAATTGTGAAGCTTATTAATGATCGCAGAAAAGTTACAGACACACACACACACACAGTGTGTCTCTCTCTCCCTCTCTCAGCTGAAGTCTCATGCCTCACTACAGTTTAAAGTTTATTTGTTTGTTGCAACAACATGCACACTGATCATCACATAATGATCAATACTTTTATTAATGAGTTAAATCTTTATTCATCAGCCCTCAGGCTAGCTCTTTTCCTGTCTCTCTCTCTCTCTCTCCCACACACACAAAAAAACAGTATGATCGGACACGTGTATAAACAACAGACTTTTTAAACGTGGTTAAACCCCACATTAACACTGTATGTGGACTTAGTGGAGCTGTGCATGGCTCCCTGGTGTCTGCACCTGACCTGGTGGTACTGTGCGAGGGCTGTGTGCCTTCTCCGTGATCTCTGCGTCAGTAGCCAGGGACTGTTTATTTATCCCAAGTCATATCGTAATCGCGATATTAAACAATGTTATCGCATGTTTTCCAGCCCTAATGCGATGGTTTCATGGATTCATTGCTGAGAACATCGTGACACACATACCACACACTGCAGCCAGGGCTCTATGATAATAATATCATAAGATTCTTCGCATAGCATTAGAGAGAGCTTACGTACTACTGTTGGTACACTTACCACAGTTTGAGAACAACTGGCCTAATGGCTTGACTAAGTCAAAAATATGCTGATTCAATTCAAGTCAATTCAATTCTATTTTATTTGTATAGCGCCAAATCATAATATACATCATCTCAAGGTACTTTACATAGAAGGTCAAGACCTTAAAATCTTACTAATATAGAGAAACCTAACAGTTTCCACAATGAGCAGCACTTTGGAGACTGTGGAGAGAAAAACTCCCTCAATGGTGGCCATCTGCCTCGACCGGTTGGGGTGAGCAAAGAAAAAGGGGAGAAGAGGAGAGATGGGTGGAAAAGAGGGGAGAGAAGAGAGAAAGATAATGTCTGATCAGACACTTAAAAGCAGTAACCTGTTTCTAATTATGTTTGATTGGTGTAAGCCTCTTATTCTGTTGTAATGTACCAATATTTACACGACCCAATCTTAAACTTTGATGTTTGGTGCTGAAACTGGTTGCTTCTTTGGGTGCTTACAGCAAAATCAAAAGTAGATGAGTAGATGAAGGTTTCATATTACATATGATCGTGTTATAAATGTTTGATATAAAGGTATTAGTTAGTGCAGTCTAACCATCTTTGGAATTTTCTAAAATAACTCGCCCTCATATAGTAAATGTATTAAATGCAATGCAATATAAATTGGGTTGGTTTCCTGTACTTGTAGACTTTCAATTCGCAAACTAAATTTCTGTTACCTCCTAAACACATGCATGTATGCTCTGCCCCTGTGTGACCACTTAGAATGCTTAGTGCAGTAATATCCAATGAGGGTTTTGCCACTTTTTATTCTGTATTGTCTTGTTTTGGTTCAGTCCCTGTGTGCACAGCAATCCAATCCACTTTCTTCATTCCTTTCTCTATCCTTGTCCTCTGCTCTCTCCCAATAGGCACCAGTCTGCTTCAAGAGGTTGTGTATTTAGTAAGCCAGGGAGCAGACCCAGATGAAATCGGCCTTATGAACATTGATGAACAGCTGCCGGTCTTAGAGTACCCCCAACCTGGCCTGGATATCATACAGGTACAGTACTCTAGCTGAGATCACGTTAGCATTCAACCAGTACCTTAATTATTACAGGACTGCAGGAGGCCTGAGCTATTGGGAGCTTTTAGATGAAGATTTGCTGCCTGCATTGTTGTGAGTAGACCCACACATTAGGACAAAACAACACCTTGCTTATGTGTGAAACATGAGAGGATGCTGGTTACTGTCTCTATTTGACATAAACACAGGCTACCCTTGCTTTCAAACACTAAGCCTGGCCACATGCTAACCTCTCTCTCTCGATTTGTTCAAACAAAACATGTAGAACTACAACACTGCAGAGTCACTAAGTGCAAAACTAAATTTATTGTCGATACTCAGAAGCTGACAAGGTAAAAACAACAACAGGGGTGACATGCGGTCCCAAACTAGGATTATGCCAATCAATTTAAAGACGTCAACCATCTTTGCAAATTGAATTCACTCTGACAGTAGGTAAGACTCTGTAACACGCATGAGAAAAGGACTGTTATTTTCGGAATTGATAGTTTAAATGTGGATCTCCTCTATCTCAGCTCATATTTCTATAAGTTCCTTTGTCCAGGAAGTAAAGTTCTATGAAAACACAAAGTGGTTGTAAAATACTTAGTGGAAGAATGCATCGGCCATGAAAGAACTGATTAAATTGTGGATCTGGAGGTGAAGGAATTTCTTCTTACTTTTTTTAACATTGTGTATCGGACGTTTTTGACATTTTCACTGAATTCCTAGGGAATAATTAATACTGGGTGCCATTCTAGTTTAAATATGTACGGTGTCACATTTTATGGAGCAGGTGGACCCAAAAATGCAGGAGCAAGAATTGGTAACATAAAGTGTCCTTTAATAAAGGTAAAATTCTTACAAAAGGAAAAGTAAGATCCAAAAGGTCCATAAACGGAAAAACACTAAGGTAAAAATCAAAACACTGGCAACAAGAACAAACTCAAAGGCAAGGGGGGATGATGGAGGAGGAACCACACTGACAAAGATACAGGGGAGCACAGAGATTTATATTCACAGGGGAGGCAGGGGCGAACATACAGACAATCACAAGGGCGGGAAAAAGGACAAAGACAGGAAGGAAAGGTGGAAACACACAAGGAACAAAACTTCTAAAAAATAAAACAGGAACTGAAAAAACTCAAATCCAAACATAAACATAGGGATAGAGACAATACACAAGGAGTCCATTAAAGAGGCAGAGTCCAAAGAAACAAAGAGTCCAGAATAATGAGTCATAACATATTGACTATACTTGGAAAGCATTGTGATCATTATTGGTTGCATGTAATGTCATTGTAGCATGTCATTGCATGCTATAACAGAGAACAAGGAACACACAGGCAGAGCCAACAGCTTCTCAAACACACATTATCAACACTGCAGATCTATATGTACTCATAGCCTTGTTTCCATTGTAGGCATGGATCGTCCTAGATATGGATTATATGGAGTCATTGATGGAAGTTCATCCATGTAATTTGAGATATTCTTAGGGTCAGACATAAACAGGACCAGTATCACAGAAATATAGATACAGTTAGGGTATAGATTACTCTTTACTTGTTTAGTCTTCTAGCAGATAAGAGACACCTGATATAACTCGAGACCTTCTGCTGGACTGATAAGAAAAACGGAAGAATACAGATTAAAGTACTGACTCGTCTTATTTTTTCCACAGGAGCTGACATCCCCTCGTCTGATAAAAAGTCACCTTCCCTACCGATTCCTCCCGACAGCGATGCACAATGGAGAAGCCAAGGTCAGCCTGGACAATACCGCACTGTAGCCACACATGTTTTACTGCCAGAGGAAGATCATTTTAGACATTTTAAGACAGTTAAATATGTTTTGAGGTAGGTGTCAAACAAACTGTGTCCTGTTAAATTCACTCATCACTGTATCTACTGACCGCTATAGAAACGCTAATGCTATAGAAAATCCAAAACTAATTTATAAGTAAAATGTTAGTTGTCAGGAGAAGGAGACAACTCTTTTCACCTAGCAGTACAGCTATATCATGACATTCAATGCTATTTGCCAAAAACAGTCATGCCAACGCTATTTGCTGTCACAGCTTCCTCTTCATGTGTGAAGTTGATTTTATTAATATCTAAAGTTCTGTTTTCAGTACGGAACTGTTGATTTCAATGCAGCATACACACGTGTCTAGCTGCCTTTATCAAACACACAAAACATCAAACAGGTAGGCGAATTAGTCAAAGCTGAATATGATGTGACTAACCAGTAATAACATTACCGATAATAATTCTGCTTCAAGCAGCCATGACACCAAGAGATCTTTGTTCAGGCTAACAAAGCCTGGGGATAGACCGTGTTCACATGACTTCACCACCCTCAGTTCCAGTAACCTAATTCTACAAGACTGTTGTTCAACAGTAATTCACAGGACTCTTTTCAAGATCTTGACCTTAATATATAGAGTGCCTGGAGATAACTTTATGTTGGTTTTCTTCTAGGTGATCTACATGGCTCGCAACCCTAAAGACCTGGTGGTTTCTTACTACCAGTTCCACCGCTCTCTTCGGACCATGAGCTACCGGGGAACCTTCCAGGAGTTCTGTCGCCGTTTCATGGATGACAAGTGTAAGTATGTAAGTAGGTTACTGGAGGACTGGGTCACCGGGACCTTCCATCTGGTCCTGTGTTCTCACTACTATAAGCTCATCTAGGTGTATATTTTTTTTTTATCTCTGTCTCTGTCATAGTGGGATATGGTTCCTGGTTTGAACATGTTCAGGAATTTTGGGAGCATCGTATGAACACGAATGTCCTCTTCTTGAAATATGAAGATATGTACAAGGTAACATCATCACTGTCTCCTGTGCCTTTTTAAGTTTCTGTCTCAACATTCTCTATTATTTTAACATTATGTAACATTCTAATCTATGTCTTAACCCAGTAGTCTCTCGTCTGTCAGGGTTTGATTCTTAGAATGTTTTTTATGATTCAGATAGGAAGTTACTCAGTACATCTTTCCAGTGGAACTGCTGTACTGATATTGCACGTGTGTACATGTGTACTGTGCTGCTGTCTAGTATGAAGTTAATTTTTAACCTCTATTCATACAATGAGCATACATGCTCTTTACCCTCACCCTTAAACGTGTTCTTTTCTGTACCGTCATTGACAGTAATTACAATGTAGTCCTGCATTGCCAGCAGTGTGTTCCAGATTTAAGTATCACAAACCTTTCTCAATCCAAATCTAAATAGAGCGAATCACGTTTTATCACAATTTACTCTAACTTTAAAACATTTTTAAATTAAGATTTTTATGTCTGCTGTAGGGCTGACTGGTGCCCAAGCTTTCGGTTGAATAAAACAAATTACAGTTGTTGAGATGTGATGATGAAGAAGCACAGCCTCATTTTTGAGATACTCTTTGGTTAAAGGAAGTTTGATTGTATAACACTTGATATAACCTTGTGCTGGAAGCAGTTTTTTGGTAGATCAGACATCTTGGTCAAGTGCAGTTTGAGCAGTTCCACAGTCTAAGATCCCACATCCTGTGTCTTGACAGAGACTGTGCTGTGATATAAAACTGATGTCGCTGCGTATGGGATGCTAATTGAACATTTCACCATATTCAGCTCCAGAATGTTTAAACAAATGTGA